TTTATTAGTCAAAAGGAGTTGGAGAGATTAGGTGGAGTCCAAGATGGTGCTTTCATGAAGATTTCTACCTCCATTGATGACACGACGAGTGAGTCTGAATCGTTCCAAGATAGACCTCATCGGGATAGAGGGAGGCTATCGAAGTAATGGATATTTCGTTAGGGAATCGTTGTTTTCGAGCTGAACTAAGCCATGGGCGACTTCTATTGATGTGTTGCAAGAGTGAAGAAGACGATTATAGAAAAACCACAGCCTGTCACAATCGTGTTTTGACTTGGATTTAGGCTTGATTTCAAGAATTTAAAAACAAAATCCAGGTTTTGTTTTAAGTTATTGTAGTTTTTTTGACTTAGCAACTCAAATCGTTGTTGAACACGATTAACAGTACTCGATTTTGATATCTTCTTTATTTTTTTAACAATACTCGATTAACAGTACTCAAATTGGAGGGGAAGATGAAGTTCATTTGATATCTTCTTTATTTTTTGTTCTCCTGTGTGTTTTTGCTGTCAATTAAACGATGACCCATTTTGACCCCTTTGTTCCATTTCGTATCTCAACCCAACTCTTGGTTTACTCTTGGCTTGCAACTTTGCTCTTAGATTGGAGGAATGTGATGATGGAATGAATACAAAGAAAGGTTTATATATTCATTTATGACAAAACTGCAAATTTGGTCCTTGTGGTTTGCCAAAACCTTTGGATGGGGTCCAAATAGTTTCCAGCTTGCACCAAAGGTCCAAAATCAAGGTTTTCTTGGGTTTTTAGTCCATTCCATCATTGACCGTTTGTTTGGAGCCGTTAGTGCCTTCACGTGCCCTCCATGTGACGGCATTTTGGTCATTTTAGGTACTTATTTTAAATAATATCATATTTCTCCTTTATATACATACTCATACGCAATCCTCTTCCTCTTCTTCATTTTTATTTATAGAGAAGCAATCCTCTTCCTCTTCTTCTTCGTCTCTCAAAGGATTCTTCTTCTTCGTCTCTCGTCTACTTCTACTGCTACGAGATTCAAAAATGGTGCTCTGCTTCTGTGGGAATGTTGCTGTTGTGCGAACCTCATGGACTTCACGAAACCCTGGTCGTCGTTTCTATGCATGCCCTAAAATGGTAAGCAAACTCATATTAGGTTATGATATTTCGGTAGTTATGCAATAACTCTTCTACTTTAATGTATTCTTGTAGGGATCCAGATGTGCATTTTTGGGGTGGTTCGATCCCCCTATGTGTCAAAGATCAACTGTTATCATACCAGGACTGTTGAGAACAATGAATAGGTATGAGGTTGAAGTGGGCCAGCTGAAGATGTGTTTGCTTGTCTCGTGGGTTTTGTTTCTGTTGTTTGTGCTGTTTTGGAAATAGGAATTAGAGGTTAGGACTTTTTTGTTGGTAGTAACCACTTAAAAATGTTGTCTTTTGGTGCTAGAAGGTTTAATTGTGGTTTATATATGTTTTTGTTGGTAGTAACCACTTAAAAGTGTTATCTTTTGGATCATTGTATATGTAATGCTTTTATGACAATGGGAAGTGTAATGGTTTTATCCTTTTATGAATATGAAATTATAAAGGTTTGATCTTGACATGATATGCAAGTGTAATGGTTTTTCTCTACGTTTGAATATGCAATTGTAATGGTTTTATATGCATACATTAAGTACATTGCCATAACATCTTCATGCTTTGACAGTACAACATAAACAAATAACAAACAACATTACCAAAAGGGGACCATAACAGATAAATGTCAAAACACAATCATTACCAACAAAGGGCATTAAAGTACATTATCAAAAGGGCATCAAAGTACATTATCAAAATGGAACAAAAAAAAGGCAACAAAGTACCAACTAAAGTGCATTAACAAGTCTTGACAAACATAAAAAGTACTTAAACATCAATTCCCATCTTTGGCCTTGCAGGTCCTGGCATTGTGACCCTTTTGCTTACACTTACTACATGTCACAGTCAAAAACTTCCTGCTCAGTGATTGAGTTTCATTATCATTTTGACTTTGACTGTTTGCTTGCCTCTTACGTTGCTGGATTTCAATCCTTTCCTCTGCTGTAATCCTTCTTTTCTTTTTTGGCCTGCCTATAGCTTTGTTGTGTGGTGGAGGCACAAGAGTTGTTGGGCAGTCACTCTTAGGCCACATGGCTCTACCTTTGATAGGCTCCACCTTGAAGGAGTACATCTCTTTCCATGTATCAAGCCAATACACCTTATGCACATAGGTGTATAGTTCTCCTACCTTTTCATTGTTGTCTGCCATTTCATTTAGGCTTGCAATAGCATGTTTGCAAGGAATTCCAGTAAGCTCCCACTTTCTACAACTACACTCCCTTTTCTCCATGTCCACCACATGTTGATCATTCCATGGACCTTTAACCTGATACTTTTGTCCCCCATTCCATCGTGCATGATACTTACTAGCTAGTGTTGTGTTTGCTTCCAAAATCCTAGTACCAGTTGGAGTTAATGGACCTTGACACTTGTTTAACACCTTCATCACATTGCATACTCTCTTCATAAGGTACTCTCTGATGAACTCCAAACAACTGATAATGGGTTTGTCTCTCCCTTTTACAAGTTTGCTATTGAACACTTCACAAAGGTTATTCAATAACATGTCTGAAATTGCCCTTCCTAATAGTTCATTAACAAAACAACAGTTAGTGTATATCTATACTACAATAAAAAATAAGACAACAAATTGAGAAAATACCTGAAAAATGACTTCTAGCCCAATGATGTGGTGGGATTTTCAAGAGCCATTGATATGCTTCTATGTCATAATTCCTTAGCTCTACCATTACAGCTTCAAACTCTGGTATGGTGGTGGCTGTAGCACACCTCCAAAAATACTCCTTGTACTCTGTAGTCTTAAATAACTTCCTCATGTTCTGGTATATGTGTCTAATACAGAACCTGTGTTCTGCATTAGGGAACAATTGTTCTATGGCTGGTAGAAGACCCTGTTGTCACCAAAACAAAATAAGAAATTAGCATTAGTTTGTAATGAAACTAGTATGCAATATTAAATGTAACTATAGTACCTTCTGTCTATCACTGATAAAGGTGAAGTTGGAATTTGAATACAAGTCAAGATCTTCTGCAAGACACTGAAGAAACCATTTCCAACTTGAAGTGTTTCACTTTCAGCAACAACATATGCCAATGGGTAGGTTCCATTGTTGGAATCAACACCAACTGCACTTAGTATTTGACCTGGGAAAGGTCCCTTCATGAAGGCTCCATCTAAGCCTAAAAATTCTCTCAAACCTGCCTTAAAACCTTTCTTCAAAGGACCTAAACACACGTATATCCTTCTGAATTGCCTGGTTGGGGATGAAACCACAGGTTCTGAAACCACATCAATCTTTACAGTTGTACCTTCATTTGTCTTTTGTAGCTCTAGTACATAGTCTCTCAAAGCTGCATATTGCTTTACGTAATCCCCTGCAACATTTTTGGTGGCTAATGCTTTTGCCCTAAATGCTTTCTCTTCTGAAATACTAACTCCATAAGTTGATTGGAGTTGCTCTTGTAGGGCACGAACAGGCAGTCCAGGATTAGCTTCAATCTGATCCATAATACGTTTGGAAAGAAATGTTGCTGTGCAAGATCTGATTTTTCGTGTTTGGAGGCAGATGTGTTTCTGATTATAGGTCTTAATAAACCAATAGTCCTGTTCACTTGACCTAGATGCATGAAGTTTCCATGTGCATTTAACTTTATCTGAGTTTACATCTTTACCCTTTACCTTTTTCCCAGAGTAGGTCCACCTACCCCACTTGCATTTAAAACTACAGTTCCATCACAAACAGCTGTTAATCTACTCTTGTCGTTTTTTGTGAATGAGATATTCCTCCTTGTCTCTAAAGCATGCAGGTCAATTTTATCTTTCAATTCTTTCTTGGCTTTATATTTCTGCCCAATATGAAAAGCTACCTTGTGCACCTCACCAGCAGAACATAAGGTTTGTTTCCCCAGCTCTTTGATCATTTCTCTTCTTTTCCTGTTGTCCCCTGAGTCATCACTTAGTGAATCCCACTCGTCATTGTCAATTACCTCCAAATCATCTTCTTCATCACTATCTTCATTTCTTTGACCACCCATTCTTTGACATCCATTGAACTCTGCTTCTGTATCAATATTTAGATTGAAATCCTCCATGTCAACGTCAACATCTTCAATTATGTTGTCCTCATCAATCATAAAGTCACTATCTTCATCTTCACTGTTTTGATTCTCAAACTCAATGTCATCAGGCTCCTCTTGTCTCCACTCATCATTGAAAGGAATATTATCTTGGCCTTCAAACCCATTAAATGGGATGCTATCTTGGTCTTCAAACCCTTCAAAAGGTTGAAAGTTTGTCATTAACTCATCATCTATGTTGATGTTAGTTGAAAATTCATTGACTCCTTGAGGATCATTATCCATGACAACTCTATACCCCTCATCTGCAAATCCTTCTACACCCTCACCATTGGATTTGTTCACATCAAGTTCTTCATTCACATCAATCTCTTTGTTTAACTCTTTTTCTGCATCAACTACAACAAATTCATCTACAAATCCTTCTACACCCTTACCCTTATCAACTTCACCACTTGCCGTTGTTTTTTCAGCACCTTCCCAATCCAATTTAAGCATTCTACTACAAGACGATGCCCCTTTACTATGTTTCCAACCTTTAGACCTACTAAATTCAGGTGTTGCTGATTTGTATAAGGTTAATGCTAACCTTAAATCACCCTCACCAACATCAATTTGGATTGGAGTTACCACTTCATGAGCAACTACAGGTGATGAGGGTCTAATGGAATCCTGCTTCTCCATGTCTTCTATTATAACGCTTCTTGGACCAGTTGGGGACATAAAATATGTAAGCAAGTTCGTTTGACCATGCTCTGTGTACACTTTAATCATTTTGTTATTATGGGTAACATATCGTGAGAGATTACGCACATCATCATCGTTACCTAATGCTCGGAGTCCAAAGTCAAATTGAAACGTCCCAAAAATATGACCCAAAAATTTCGTTTTTTTCAATATAATCAAAACCATAATCTGAGTGTCATATCATAAAACCATACGTGATGTATCCCAAACATAATAAAAGAAAACACTGTGCGGAAAAACTATATCGTACTATGTCAAATCAAAACAAGCTAAATCAATTCCCAGGATAAAAGCTAAAGTTGTGGTGTGTGCGATGCTATCACCCCGAGCTCTTCCCTTTGCTTGCGGAAGTACCTGAAACCAAAACTGAAACTATAAGCACGAAGCTTAGTGAGCTCCCCCAAACTACCACATACCATACAGTATATAAATAAGCACATACTGGGCCTTGCCCACTGCATCAGACCGAAGTCCGGAACTAACTGCATCGGACCGAAGTCCGGAACTGACTGCATCGGACCGAAGTCCGGAACTAACTGCATCGGACCGAAGTCCAGAACTGACTGGGACCTTGTCCCCTGCATCGGACCAAAGTCCGGAACTAACTGCATCGGACCGAAGTCCGGAACTGACTGCATCGTACCGAAGTCCGGAACTGACTGGCATAGCATAGCATAGCAAAACATATTTCAAATAGCATAGCACACATGATCATAAACTCATATACTGCATACTACGTCAGGCCGTAGCCCATAACACTTAACACATAAATCTTGTCTGAGCCACGAAGGCATCAAACAAACTATCAACTGCATCAGACCAAAGTCCGGAAACTACTGCTACTAAACGGGCCGGCATTGTGGCCTTAGACCCGTTCCTACTGGAAGGAAACTCACCTCGTAAACTGGCTGCTGAGTGTATGACTCTGGAATCTAACCGCTGCTGCTCCGGTATCTCTCTGGCTACAAGTCCATAAACACACTCAATCAAATACTAAACATTGCACTTGGGTAAAATGACTCTTTTACCCTTGGTCACAGTCAACTCTCATTTGACCTGACTCGCCGAGTTGGGCCGCCAACTCGCCGAGTCTCTACTCTCACACCTCAACCCTACTCCCTGCTACTCGTCGAGTATGGCATCGACTCGACGAGTACCCTCTTGATCCAAGACTCAGACAATCTTCATCCGACTCGCCGAGTCATATGAACAACTCGACGAGTTGTTCTTGAACTTAAGAAGATTGCCTTGGACTCGCCGAGTTGTATGAACAACTCGCCGAGTCCCCCCATTACTGAGTCTACCCTCAAACTCGCTGAGTCCACTCCCTAACTCACTGGTCCCACTCGACACCGCTAAAAAGGAAGAAATCGGGGACTCGCGACTCGACTCGCCGAGTCATTCTTCCGACTCGCCGAGTCGCTTGCATGCAGCAACTCAAAACTTGATTCTGCTTGAATCCAGTGCACAAAACTTATAGATCTGGACTCCCTTAACACGATTAGCACGTAAAGATTCTATCTTTACGTGCCCATATGCATCCATGAAGATAAAATGGCTCAAAAAGCATAATAAAGGCTAGATCTAGTGTTAACAAGCAACATGGGGCCATAAAGCTAACAGATCTGAGCTCCTGGAGCTCAATCTTGCCTAGATCCAGAGGCCAAACGTCTTAATACGACATATAAGGCACATAAGAGCTTGGGGTTTGACCAAGAAAGACCCAAATGAAGTTTTAAGCATAGAATCATGGGGAAAACGGGTTATACCTCAAAGGAACTCCTGGAAGAACACAATAGTTGCTTGGTTGGCTTTCCTTCTTGTGGATCTACTTCTTTCCTCCTCCAAAACCTTCAAAAACACCCACAAAAGTCTCAAACTCTCAAGGAATGGCATAGGACGAGGTATACAGGGCTCTAAGGGTGAATGGGGGCTGGCTTGGGGCAGTTAAGTTGTTTAAATAGGGCGCAAACCCCTGAAACTTAGGGTTTCATCCAACAGCGGCGACTCGCCGAGTCTAGGATATGGACTCGCCGAGTCACCAACTTAAAATGTGACCTGGATCGCGTCTCTACTCGGCGAGTCGGACCCATGACTCGCCGAGTCCAAGGCTAAAATGGGAAATGTTCGAATAAGATTTACATACCAGAAACCAGGTGCTACACAAATCCTTCATTAGGCAAACGGAAATGGTAATACATGATTTCAGTACCATCATACCCTAATTCTCTCATCATCGAGTCTAGTTCATGAACAGAAAATTCATCAATGTCGACAACATCAAAGTACCTTACTTGGCCATTAATATACCTGATATTTGGAAACTTTGTGAAACTCCCTCCGTGATGAAGTTCAATAGAGAATATGTTGGGGTAACCATCTTCAAAACAGAAAGAGACGATTATTAGTTAGAGTTTTTCAAAGTTTGAAGCTTGATCATAAAATACAGAGTTTTTCTAAGTTTGAATCTTACCATAAACTTCTTGAACGTTGACAATCTCTCCAACATTTCTAAGTCCCCACATTTTCAAAAGCATGAACACAATCCAATTTTCAGATGATCGTTAGGGTTTTTGCGTTTGAATCAAGAGGTATGAGTAAAAGACGAAGGAGTGAGTACAGTCTGCAATCTTATTAATTGAAGTGGCGGCAACGGAGGCTAGGACCTAAAATGACCAAAATGCCCTCACATGGAGGGCACGTGAAGGCACTAACGGCTCCAAACAAACGGTCAATAACAGAATGGACTAAAAACCCAAGAAAACCTTGATTTTGGACCTTTGGTGCAAGCTGGAAACTATTTGGACCCCATCCAAAGGTTTTGGCAAACCACAAGGACCAAATTTGCAGTTTTGTCTTCATTTATTCACAATTCGAGTTTTCCATTGAAAATGAAGCCAGAATAATCAAATAGGTGTATGTGGTTGGGGTTTCTTTTTTTCTTTCTGCATATCATTGAGTGGGAGAAGACAATGAAAAAATAGAGAGAGAGAGAGAGAGAGAGAGAGCTCTTTAATATTAAATAATTATATTTATTTATTTATTTATTTATTTTAAATTAAGGCAAAACTTCAAAAATGGTCTTTGTGGTAGTGAAATGACAGAAATGCCCTTCACTTAACGGCCAAAAGCTAACAGAGTTAGCTAAAATGACCATTTATTAAAAGTTTTGAAACCACAGGAACCATCTGTAAAGTTTTTTTGAATTTATGGACTAAACTTGATATTTTCAAAAACCGTAGGGACCATTTTTTGAAGTTTTATCTAAAATGATATGTCACGAAGCTGTTTATATCATATTCCAGCTTCTATGAAGCTGCTTAAATCGAGTCCCAAGTGTGGTGCACTGCAAATTCACTGATCTTTTGACCAGTAACGTCATCCCTTTTGTCATGTTTTGAACATATTAAATATTAAAGCTTCTCCGTAATTTATTTGTCTTCTTGTCTTCCACTAATCACATGCTAGAAAAAGAAACTAACCATAGTTGAATATTCATATATCATTATAATATATTTGGAGAAAAACATGTCTTGATCATATGTATTAATTCAAGTGTTTGTGTTTGTGTTTGATAGTTAGGTCTTCTTTAATTGATGTTTATTTGTCCACGGTCAAGTTTAGTGTAATATACATATTTTGAGTATGCGACATCATGTGTGAAATGTACATTTTATCAAATGGCAATGACTTGAGGGAAAAAAACCACAATATTTTTAATAAAGACTAAACAAAAAGTTCCATGAATATTGAATAAAAAAAATATCATTGTGTATTAGAAAAATTAATATCTAAACTTCATTTTAATTAACCTGAGAGGGAATTAATATCTTATATGATGAATACAAAAAAGAACACCATCTAAGAAAAAAGGTCAAATATCATTTGCTGATTGATAGATGGATAACTTACAAAGCTATACAAAGAAGTACATAATTGACAATTAATATGGATGATAAAGTCTTGATATTTAAGAAAGTACATAATTGACAATTAATATCGATGATAAAGTCTTAGTACTAGCTTAAGATTGTCCACTTTAATACTTATGGTTAATTCTATATATATCTTCAGTTGTTTTGGTTACCTTTGAGTGAGCAAGTATCTCCATTATAATAGCTATCTATCTATATCTATATCTAAATCTTTTCTATACAATACAACACAATGAAAAAGATATATTTTTACTTTCACAATTTGTATTTATCTATCTATATCTATATCTAAATCTTTTCTATACAATACAACACAATGAAAAAGATATATTTTTACTTTCACAATTTGTATTAGAACTCTTATGATTTTTTTTTTTAAATAATGATTATAAATTAGTTAATAATATTAAATAAGTAGAAGACATAAATTATAATCATAAATTAACTAATTTTCAATATTAAAATAACATGTTTTATTATATATATATATATATATATATATATATATATATATATATATATATATATATATATTTACGTGTTTAACTTTTAAAATATTGTATACTTAATTTAGTTTGAATATGTTGTTTAATGTGAACCATTTCCATTTTTAAACAACAAATTTTGAATAGTTTGTTAGATTTAACATCAACGTTATTTTTATATATAGAAAATAGATGTTTATAAATATTTCAACTATTCTTTTGTATTTTGTTCATCATATGTATTCGCCTAGTATCGATAAATAAACAGCAACACACTAAACCGGGAACTAAGCATGACTAGACAAAGCATAATAATATTTTTTTACACATATGTTTAAACAATATAAAAGGCAATACTTATTATGTAATCTTAGTTTATGTCACAATTCAGCATTAAACCAAAAAGATAAGACAAAACTGCAAAAAGGTTCCTGTTGTATGATTTTTTCTAAGGTACAGACTGAGCCTTGATTTTTTTGGTTTCATGATCCTTTTGGCCATGTTTTTATCTAGAAATGATCCCTCCAAAAACTGAAATGACTAAATTAACCTCTTCATATATCTTTTTATGTTTTTTCTATTTAATTTAATATTTTATGTTTTATTAATAATAAAATGGGCCTACACCGCATTCTCTCTCTCTCTCTCTCTCTCTCTCTCTCTCTCTCTCTCTCTCTCTTTCTTGTTTCTAGACAATCGACGACAAAAGCGGAATTGACAACCCTCCTCCACCCCTCCTTCTTGTCGATCGGAAACAACCCATTGAGGATCGCCACTTCCCTCCGTTGTTACTTCGATGGTTCTTTCCCCTCATTCGTCGTGTTTTGCCAATGGAACCGAAGGAGAACAGCCAATGAGGCCACCAAAGCAGCCCCCTCGCTGTAACAGTCACCTGACATAGTAAGTTGCCTTCATTTTCTTCTTTCATTTTGGCGATGGACCAAACCTCCACTGAACCACCTCTGTTATGCTTCCGTTCTTCTTCATTCTCCCTTCGATCTAATCGGTTCCATTTCCCTCTCGATTTGTAGCTGCCAACGACGGGCGAAGAGCCTAGGGGAGGTCGTCGGAGATTGAATCCGTCTCACGATCTGTTGGACCACCAGATCACCATTTTGACTGCTTACATTCGTGTTCCTTCTTCCTTCTCCCGATTAGTTAAGACGAAGAGCAAAACTATAAAGGATCGTCAGTATCGACGAACCCCCTTGCCCCTTTCGCAATTCCCATCTACACCGTAGCTCCTATCGATCTGCATTTCATTTTTCTATTCCTTGTCCAATCTGATGGAGACGATGATTATTCAATGTCAAAACGGGTTTGGCTTTTTGGGGAATATGAAGTTATAAGAATACATATTGTACAAGTCTCAAAGCAATGGATAGAGAGAGAGATTGAGAGATAGAGAGGCGTTTTTTATTTTTTTAATTATTAAAATAAATAATCAGTATTAGATTTAAAAGACACTAGTAAGGACTAACATAGTAATTGCACTTTCACCATTTTATTAATATAGCCACTGAAAAGTCCCAATTATTTAACATTTTGCTCAAATTAACGAAAAAGTCTTTTCTATATTTGAATAGCAAATACCAAGTTATATGATTTTTTTCAAAATAATAAGACTTTTCTGTTAAAAAAAACATTTTAGGACTTTATTGAAGCTTTTCTTAGACCAAAAAACACCAAACTCGTGCATGGGCGCGACCTACGGACAAGAATACAGCTCCGAAAACTCGGGCGCGCGCTACCCTCATTTTTGCTAAACTTGACAGTTTTGGTCCCTATTTTTGAATTTTGTAACGGATGCATTAATTGCGTAATTAATGACATTTGGTAAACTTGAAATTTTGGGTCCTTATTTTTGAATTCTGTAACGGATGCATTAATTGCGTAATTAATGACATTTGCTAAACTTGAAATTTTGGGTCCTTATTTTTTAATTCTGTAACGGATGCATTAATTGCGTAATTAATGACATTTATTGCCATTAAACGCTCAATCAATTAGTGATTTGTTTCCGTTTCACGATTCAACTATAAAAGAAGACCTTGCCTTCTCATTCAAACACACGAATGGAATTACTCTTCTTCTTCCTTCTCTGCATTCCTGCTTCCGGCGATTCTTTTCTTTCAGGCAAGTGGTGATATCCGGCAGTATACAATATTGTTTAGGTTGTTGTACCCTGCGAACAGATGACGAATCTGTTTAAGGGAATCGAGTCCAACTCGAGCCTCAGCCACATCGTTTGCATCTAATCTTTTTTTACAGGAACCTCTCAAAAACGAAAATCGAAAACAATATTCTAACACCTTTATCATCATCAACATTGATTATAATTTTCTCAATCTTTCATTTATTCAAAAGATGTTAATATTGAAAATAACTCTAAAAAACTTGTATTGGGATTTGGGAGAAACATATTTGAGGAAACGGCGTCATCTTTTGGGAGAAATGGAGAGATTAAAATAAATGAGGGCAAATTTTGTTTAAAAAAAGCTAGGATTAGGGGAAATTCTTATTTCCATGGCTTTCTTTATTAAATGGTTTTCTTTTTATTAAGTAATAAAGAAAAAAAACAACACAAAGTAATTGTGTTTGCAGAAAAGGGTTTTAACTGCATTGGAAAATGCCGGCATTTTAACATCCGGTGGCTAAAGACAAGGTAAATTGTTAAATATTATTTAATGTATTATAATATAAATATAATTATAATATAATATAATATAATAAAAGACAAATAAAACATTATAGTTATTTCACAACTTGGAAATACCAAAAACGTAATAAAACTAATTCAAAAATAGCATGAAGTAAAAAAAAAAAATGGAAGTTTAGAATAAACCTAGAGAAAATACATACTAAAGACACCATTTTTGCAATTTTGTCAAAAGATAAATTAATTTTACATTCACTTTTATAGCTTTTAGAATAACTTTACTTTATTATGATTATTATGTATAACATGAATGGTAAGCATAGACGTCATCCGTACTCATGTCATGCTAGAGCTGTTAAAGTGACACACATGTGAACATTTTATTCTAGAGTGGAGCCAACATGACTCCAAACAACTTTTTTATGTTTGACAATGAACAGTCATCGACCATATTGTTATATATAAAGTGGCCTTTGCCTTAATTGTTTCTTCAACTAAACCCATCAAAATCTCTCTCATCTCCTTCGAAAAGATAGACGTACTTTGGGGAAGCAGGTGTAAAGAGATCAATCACATAAATTAATTAGAATTACATCTTCAAAGTTACGTAGCCATCAAAATCTCCCTCTTGGAACACACACATTGACCTTAACTGAGACAGGTGTAAAGAATTATGGGCGAAATGGTGGATGGACGTAAGCAAGATGAAGGCGCATTTGAGAAAAGGATTCATATAATGAATGATGAAGGTGATGTTATAAGCATGTGCATGACGAAGAACAACTCGACAACTTCCCAATCTGAATCCAAGGATGACAAGAATGGAGTCAACAAAACACCAGACGAGTGGCTTCCCATCACCAGATCAAGAAAAGGGAATTCGTGGACCGCAACATTCCACTTACTTTGCTCGGGAATCGGAATCCAAACTCTCTCTCTTCCCCTCGCCTTCGTATACCTCGGCTGGTAAGCCCAATATAACACTTCGTATGTAGTCATGTATGTCATATAAAAGGATATTTAATTGTTCTTAATCCAACGATCTAAAGTACTCTTGTTTCAGGTTTTGGGGGATTCTGTGTTTGTGTGTGGCATTTCTATGGCAGCTTTACACCATTGGGTTGTTAGTGAGTCTTCATGAAAGCGTCCCGGGTACTCGTTACAGCCGATACCTTCAACTTTCAATTGTTGCTTTTGGTACGTATATTAAGATTCCTTTGTTAAAGTAGCAAACATAGAAAAAGTATATATTTATGTAACTAATTAATTTGATTGTTTGTTTTTGAATGATTTTTGCAGGTGAAAAGCTCGGGAAACTTTTTGCCCTATTTCCGGTGATGTATCTTTCAACAGGCACGTGTGTGATATTCATAATCACAGGAGGTGGAGCGATGAAAGATTTCTATCAACTCATATGTGACGATTGCTCTTCCAACTTGACAACCACGGAATGGTTCTTGGTTTTCATTTCATTAGCAATTCTTGTCTCCCTGTTTTGTCCAGATTTGCATTCAGTAGCTTTGGTCTCATTTATTGGAGGGATAATGGCCATTGGATATTGTACCACCTTATGGGTATTGTTCGTTGCTAAAGGAAGGGCAGACGACACTTCTTATGATCCATCAAAAGTTGTTGCATCAGAAGCCGGTCGAGCCCGAAGTATCTTGAATGCTCTTGGGATCATTGCCGTTTTATTTAGAGGCCATAACGTTGTGTTAGAGATACAGGTACATTTCTTTAAAGCTATTCATCCGATTGATTGGCATAATATAAACCCTAAATCAATACCTTTAAAGTTATTAACGATTGTTTCTTTTGTTGCAAAAGGGTACAATGCCATCAACATCAAATCGTTCATCAGCAAAGCTCATGTGGAAAGGAGTGATAGCTTCGTATGTTATTATTGCAATGTGTTTCTTCCCCCTTGCAATTGTTGGATATTGGGCATTCGGAAACAAGGTTAGTAATAGTAATCTGCCATGAAAAACTAGCAAGATTTGAGCTTAGCCACAATAAAATACTCAATACTAGCTAAAAATGTTTGCAGATTCCAGCCGATGGGGGAATACTAACGGCACTCTCAACCACCCTCCACCACCACTCATCAAAACCAGTGCTTGGTCTCATATATGTGCAAGTTGTCATAAGTTGTGTCGCTGCTTTCCAAATTTACAGCATGGTGGTCTACGATAACATAGAACGTGTGTATGCAAGCAGAACGGGGAGGGAATGCTCGAAGTTAACTCGTATGGGAATCAGGATTTTGTTCGGAGGTTTGACCTTCTTTATATCAGTGGCGTTCCCGTTTCTACAAACGCTTGCACTAATCATCGGAGGGATTGCACTGCATTTAACATTTGGGTACCCATGTCTCATGTGGATTGCGATCAAGAGACCACCAGTAAAATCCGTAGGGTGGTGGTTTAATCTTGGGCTTGGTTTCTTAGGGGTAGGGCTGAGTCTATTGGTACTTGTTGGTGCGGTGTGGAACTTGGCTTGTAGAGGTTTAGATGCCAACTTTTTCCATCCACATTGATTTAGGTCTACTTTAGATTAACTAAAAAACTATTGAATTTTTAAATTTAGGTTCGGGAATAACAATATAACTAATTAAATTTCTTAATATCATATCATATCGTTTTATAATTTTTGAATTTTTCCCTTGGAGCTTTTAGTATTGTATTCACCATGTCACTACTAGAAGTTAGGTTATCACCAACTTACAATTCATTGATATTCGGTTGTTGAAATATTTTTCAATGGATCACGGACGAATTTTTTCAATCGCCAGGAAAAGTGTGTTAGATTATTGGCAAGGGATTAATTTAAGGGCATACATGTTTTAATTTGCTTAGGGATGTCCATTGCAAAAGGTTTGTCACGTACTACATTGATATTTAAAAACCGTTACAAAACCCTCACCCATCATAGTTTATCAATGATATTTAAATACCGGGGATTCAAATGAATCTCGTGTCGTAAATCGTCTTGAATAATTGTGGTTACAAAAAAGTATTAGAAAGTAACAAGTATATCTTATCAATACATGATTCTTTTATGGGTTTCAATGATCTAATGGAATGATTAGACTTAATATTAATTATCCTAATTATGTCAATTCTGTTTTCATGGCTTCTTCTAATTTTAGCAATACTTTTGATAAATATGATTTATGGCATGCTAGACTAGGACACATTCATTACAACAGATTAAAAGACATGTAAAAAATGAGTTTAATTACTTCTTTTGATATAAATAATGGAAAATGTAAATCATACATGTTAACTAAAATCACAAGAAAACCTTTCAAAAATATTGTTAGGGTAAGAAAGGTGTTGGAACTTATACATAAGTATTTATGTTATTTCCATGCATTACCTTCCCTTGGAAACAAAAAGCATGTTGTTATGTTTATTGATGATACACTTAGATATTGTTATGTCGTTTTGCTACATTCAAAAGATAAAGCTCTTGATAAATGTAATATTTATAAACAAGAGGTTGAATTTCATAAAAATGAATCAATAAAGGTTTTACTTACTGATAGTGGTGGTGAGTATTATGATCCGATTTATTTTGAATCAACTTGAATAATACATGAAATAATAACTCCTTATACACCACAAAAAAATGGTATAGCTGAAAGGAAAAATAGAACTTTGAAAGAAATGGTTAACTCTATGTTGTACCATTCAGGTTTGAGTGAAGGTTTCCGGGTGAGGTTATGTTAACTACATGTTATATTTTAAATAAAACTCCAAACAAAATGAGTAAGAGTACTTCTTATAAACTTTGGTGTAAAAACATACCAAATTTTAGTTACCTCAATGTTTTGGGTTGTAGAGCAGTTGTAAGACTCAATGAACCTAAAAGGAAAACATTTGGTGAAACATTTATATGTTGTATCTTCATTGGATATGCTAATCATTCCAAAGCTTATAAATTTTATGTTTTAGAATCTAATGAGTATGTGTATGTGAACATTATTATAGAGTCAAGAGATGCTATCTTTGATGAAGAAATATTTACATCTATACCTAGACCAAAAGACACGATTCAATAATAGTACAACTCAGGCTGAAGATGTTTCTGGTAGTACAAGTTTTGTGCCTGAACTTAGAAGGAGTACTAGAGCTAGAAAAGCTAAATCTGTTGGATATGATTTTCAACTATATTTAGTTGAAGGAACAAAGGATGAAATTGCATCTCAACATAAATATTGTTTTAATATCGAGGATGTTCCAAAGACTTTCAGTGAAGCTATGGCTTCTAGGGATGTTCATTTTTGGAAAGAGGCAATTCAGGATAAGATGGATTATATCATGCATAACAATAATTGGATATTGTCTGATTTAACTCCTGGTTGCAAGGAATTAGGATGTAAATGGATCCTCAAAAGTAAAATGAAGGTGAATGGCTCAATTGATAAGTATAAAGACAGATTAGTTATCCAAGGCTTTAGGCAAAAGGAAGGTATTGATTTCTTTGATACTTATGCTCCTGTTGCCAAAATTTACACTATTATATTATTGTTAGCTCTTACAACTATATGTAATCTTGTAGTTCACCAAATGAATGTGAAAACTACATTCTTAAATCATGACTTGGATGAAGAAATTTATATGAAACAAACCAAAGGGTTTGTGATGCTTGGAAATGAACACAAAGCGTGCAAGTTGAAGAATGATGGGTTTTATGTACTATAACATTCCTATGGTGCACATACAACCATAATATCTTTGGATCTAAGTTTTCTCTAATTATACATGCAATAAAATTTCCAAAGCATGAAGCCTACAACTAGCATACAATTTGATATATAAATCATAAAAGTTAGTTTGAAGATTACCTCTTTGTTGTAGCTTGTAGAACTTGGCCTTTCAAGAGCTTAGCACCCCAAGTGTTGTGCCTCAAACAAGTCACAAACACCATGAAAAATTGGAGGAACTTGAGAGAGAGGTTAGGCACACTAAAATTCGCTATTGTATCTATAAGATGACTAGTTCTTCCTAGATGACATAGGTCAACCGATTTTTGGCTAAAGGGTAACATATGTGTATATATATATATATATATATATATATATATATATATATATATATATATATATATATATATATATATATATATATATGGTGTAGGATTCCAAGGGTCATGTGTAAACCCTAATCCATACACATAGGCTTATGATCCATAAATCATGTAGACTAACTCTTTATGGATTCTTACATAAACTTAGTCCATCATGGATCTAAACCCCAAACCATATGTATCAGTAATTTACATAATTAGTCCCCGTTAATTTAATTAGTCTCTTTTGATCACTAAATTAAATCCAAATTAATTCTTGATCAATACTAATTAAATATTATGATTTCTCAATTAATATGCTACACTTCAAATATATTAGTAAATCATAAATAACCTCCTACTCAAATATCCATCCTATCAAGTTGTCATGTGATATGCAACCTGAAATGGACCATGCTACTCTCAGGTCAAGTACATACCAATTATAGTTATGTGCTGAGACACCTAATCCAATAGTCTCCCACTTGGATAAGTCTTATAACTATTATTACAAGTACGACTCAAAAATCCCGACTAGAAATCTTAGCTCTTAAAAGTTGTTGTCAAACTCTGACCTAGTTAATGACGCGTCCATTATATAAGGGATCACTACTAGAAAAACAGCCTTTTACGACGCTCATTGCGCGTCGTAAAAGGTTCAGACGACGCGCAAATGCGCGTCAAGTGTAACAGCCCAGAATTTTCAGGTATTTATTTTGGACTTAATTATGGAAATTGTGAGTGGACTCGGCGAGTCAGAGAACAGACTCGCCGAGTAGGATCACGGATTTGGGTGCGTGTTCGCGTCCGGACTCGACGAGTCCAAGAGTGGACTCGGTGAGTCCACGATGTGTGATGAAACCCTAATTTCCGGGGTTTGCGGCCTATTTAAAGGGCCTTATGGCCGTCATTTATGCTCACCCAACCCTTAGAGAGAAACCCTTGAGAGCTGGAACGTTTTGAGAGAGAGAGAGGGAGCTTATTTAACCTTGTGTGTGTGATCTAGCAAAGAAGGAGGAGGATCTAAGAAAGAGGAAGCAAAGGAGGCTGCTATTCAGTGGATTTGAAGCTTAGAGCATCGATCTAGAGGTATGAATTCGATCCATTTTCTGATTTGTGGAGCATAGGGAGATCTAGCGTTTCTTATGGACATTTATGGAATGATTTGATGCCAAATAGTCCCCTTTTTGTGTTGAGACTCTGGATCTGGATCCATAGAGGTCCAGAGAGCCTCCTTCTTCCAGCTTTATGTATAACAATTGAGTTCATGGCCTTGAGATATTGAAATTGAGACAAAAACATCATTTAGGGTCATATAGAGATTGTATGTGCATCAAGATAGTGACTTTACGTGCTAAATAAGCTTGGAGGGACTGGATCTGTGGGTTAATGGACCGGATCTGACCTCATGATCAAGTTTTAGTCATTGCATGGCACGGACTCGCCGAGTCCGAAGAACAGACTCGGCGAGTAGTATGAATGTTGCCCGATCATACAGCGTGTGGTCTTGCCGAGTCGGGAAGGGTTGACTCAGTGAGTCAGGGGGGGAATCAGAGTGGACAGGTGGACTGAGTCAAGTTGGACTCGCCGAGTTGTTCTTGAGACTCGGCGAGTTGAGTCATGGTGGCCCCACAACTCATGCCAGGAGGGACTCGTCGTGTTAAGGGAATACTCGACGTGTCAAGGGAGGATTTCAGGAAATTAGTGTATACGCTCAGACTCGCCGAGTCGCTATATGCACCCGCCGAGTCAGGTCATAGTTGACCGTTGACCGTTGACCAGGGTTGACTTTTGTTGACTTATCAAGGAGTAACCAACCTTAGTTGGGGAAAGTGTTAATTAGAGTGGTATTGTGATTTAGGAGGACTATAGCTCGGGAGATCGAGCGCTAGTGATTTCAGGACTTACGACTTATCAAGATACGCGAGGTGAGTCTTCTCACTATACTTTACCTTGAGTAGGTAACCAGAGTTATGTGATAGAGTATTTGTATGCCATGTATGTTATGTGTTGTACTGCATTATTTCTATGTGATTTATGCTGTGCATGTTTACAGAGTTAGAACCTGAGGGTTCACAGAGTTTGGGTGCACGGACCCACAGAGTTATAGCCTCGAGTGGCTAATATGTGTTATATGTGGTATTTTGGGGAACTCACTAAGCTTTGTGCTTGCAGTGTTTGATGTTATTGTTTCAGGTACTAGTGATGACCGCGGGAAGGCGCCGGCTTGATCCGTACACACACACACACACGGAGTTTATACATTTGTGATTTTGGGATTTTGTATTGACTTGAATTGGATAATTAATATGGTTGTTTTATGAATGTTAAATGAATTATGTTTTACGAAAATTTGAAAATTTTGTTTGAAATTCACAGTGTTACAATTTGGTATCAGAGCTAGGGCACGGGTCGATGTGTTCGACAGGGACGTCGAACCCTTTAATGGGGGGTGAAAGTGGGTTAGATCTGATCCCACATCGGCTTGGAAGGAGAACGAAACATTTCCTTATAAAGGGGTGT